TAAATTACATTTAATTATAACTCATTATGGTGTATTAACTGCTTGAGTAAGTACAAGTAAGGCTGCTTTGGGAACATATGTATTATTGGTCAGGGGTTGCATTTTTAGAACCACTATATTTTATATGTAAATAAACATTTAAAATGGAGACAATAAGGTAGCAAAAGGAACTATTGGTGTACTTTGCAAATAGATTGGGAATGTGGGGTATTGAAGTATGTGCATTGTTTGCACCCAAGGGGATGGTGAGATAAAACTTATTTAAAGAGACACTATAGACACCAGAACAACTACAGCTTATTGAAACACTGTCTTTTCAGAGAAAATGCAGTGTTTACATTACAGCCTAGTGATATTTTCACTGGCCACTCCTCAGATGGCTGTTAGAGATCCTACCTGGTTCATGGCTGCCTAAAATACATCCAAACATTTAGTGTCTCCACCCTCTGCGTGCAGACACTGAACTTTCCTCATAGAGATTCATTGATTCAATTCACCTCTATGATAAGATGCTGATTGGCCAGGGCTGTGTTTGAATCATGCTGGCTCTGCCCCTGATCTGCCTCTGTGTCAGTCTCAGCCAATCCTATGGGGAAGCACTGTGATTGGATCAGGCTACCACTTCTGATGATGTCAGCAGACTGCTTGTTTTTTTTTTTAGGCAAACAGCATGCAGAGTTACAGCTTCTGGCTTGAATACAGTAAGATATTGCTATATTTATGGAGGCATGAGGGGCCCAGGGGGGCTAGATGGTGGTTTTAACACTATAGGGTCAGGAATACATGTTTGTTTTCCTGATCCTATAGTGATCCTTTAAAGACAAATGACATTTGGAAGCCCTCTTCCTTTCACAAGGCAAATTGTGCAGATATTCCATTATAGCAGAGGTTGTTAATTCCTGCCCAGTTGCAACATCATACTTCAAATGGGCCTCCACATGCCACTAATTTCACAAGTAAAGATATTAGCCCACAGCTTATTCAAGCAGGCATTTACTGCTACATTTTCTACTAAAACTCCACTAAAGCTTTCATATAGAGATGCGGTTCTGAAATTACTTTTAGAAACTAGCAGAGAATAGCTGGTTGGTTGGTTTGTTCAGGACAAGGTAGAATGCCATTAGCAGATATGAACATGTGACAATATGCTCAACAACACTGTATATATTAATATCATCCAACTTACATGGGGCTTATTTACTTAACACCGAATTGCAAAGTTTAGGTAAAAAAAAAAAACCTTATGTGGAAACATTTACCAGTTCTACTAGAATAATGTCTTAGCTTGTTGTTGGAGGATGTTTCCAGCAATTTCAAATAAATTTAGCATTTTGATTTCAATTCAAAAACAGTGTTAAGTGAATTTGTTAATTTTACACTGACAAAATTAGCTGTATTGTGACCAAAATGGCAAGATGCATTACATGGGGCAACTTGGAATGAAAACTATTCAAAAGAATAGGTCTTACCTATATACGCAATATACTTTTTCATAAAAAGTGCTATTAATGGAGACAGTAGGGACAGACCAGTGAGGGTATACTCACTGCTTTAAGCTGACCACTGAGGTCACAGAAAGTGCCTACTGAAACACACACAGCTCATTAACACTGGGAAACAATACAGTTTAAGGGAAAAAACTAAAATTTAACCATCAACAAAGAAAGCAACGAGAAACACACATTTTTAGAAAAGTACAATATAGAGGAAATGTAAAGTTACTTGAATAACTTTCAAATTAATATGGATGAGACCACTAGAATTAGGATGGCTGGTTTTGAATTCAATTATTTTTGAAATGTGTGAAATATAAAATGGAAGATGTACAGATATTTACAGTTGACATGCATTAAGAAAAATATATAAAGCACTGGGCAATATTGTTTTGCCATTTCATGACCAAAATTATTTATTCATTATTGGGGTTTTTTGGGGGTGTTTAAAGCGCCAACATATCAGGCAGCACTAAAATTCATGCGCCTGGTTCTAAGTAGGGAAATCTGGAAATGTATTTCTCAGTTAGCCTTACATCTTAGTGGTTATCAAAATGGCTAGCAGACTTGTGCACAAATCCCTTTCAGCTGTTGCAAACAAATCAAATGCCTATAACTATCGGAAAATTAATCGATTTGTTAATCAAAGCTAAACAAATTCAATGAGTTCATCCATAGATTGACAGACATTTGATTTGGTGCAGTTGAATGTATTGTACAAGTTTAATAGCTTGCGAATCAGACCTGTGTGTATGGAATTCCTATCCTCAACATAGTCAACACAAGTGGATTGGGACTACCCTAGGTAAATATAAACAAGCACAGGAGATTTTAGGATAGGAGAGAAACCAAAGATATTGTGACTTTGAAAACCTACAGGTTTATTCACTAAAACACGAGTGACAAAAACACATCAGAAAAAAAAAAAAAAAAAACAACAACAAGGACGATATTCTAAACATTAGAGGCAGCACGAGGCTGCTTTATGGAGTTTCCTTATATATCTCAAAGTTAACAGGGAAGGTGGAAAACCACGTCCCAAGTAAAATAAAGGTTGCAAGTAATTAAGTTATTAATCAAGAAAGAATCTAGAACCCTGAATACATATCCCTAATTAAACACTGAACAGTTCTGCCAAACCCTAACAGAGAATGCTAAAATACAATTACAGAGAAAGGTGTTCTGTAGTTAGAACACAAGTTTTAATTACACTATAATCATCCTACCTGCCAACAATCCACCAGTACATTCAGCACCACCACAGTTAAACAGTTATACAATTTTACTCTATATATACCCAAGTAATACACTTTATACGAAGACAAACATATTTTGTACTATATAAACATTAGCACACCAAGAGCAAGTTGCATGATTCCAATACATGTGTGTGAAGTTCTAATTTACTAATAAATGGTATGCTCTTTGGAACAGGACTCTATATTCCTCCTGCTCCTGTTGTACTGTGAGTACAGTCACATAATCCCCTGGAGAAAGCTCTGCAGAACTTAAACCTAGCCTGACCTGAGATTTGCAGATCTCTATACAGACAGTCAGATCTTAGTACATTGCAGGGCAGTGTCCACAGACCCCCCAGCAGACAGCATTCTATAGGGAATGCCTGTAATGCAGTAATTCCATGTGGAACCCTGCCACCCCAGCACCATCCCTGTGACCATGATAACTCGGTACCCATGGCTCTCCCCATGGGTGTCTCTCCTCCCCCAGATTTGGGGTATCCCCCTCCTCCTACTCCCAGCTCTCTCCATCCTCCTAGTGGCTACTGGAGGCCTTTCCCGTTAGCTGGTCCGCCCCTTCTTACCTCTCTTGTTCAAATCATAGCCCACCAGCAGGAAATAATCTGCCAGCCTCGCCATGTCCCCGTTTCCCGGGCCGCTCTGTCAGCCCCGGACTCCTCCCGCAGCCACCGCCATCTTTCCTGCCAGCCGGGTCCCGCACTGCGCATGCCCGAATCAGGGTAGGGCGGAAGGTGGAGCGTGCTGCGCTTGACGTCACCAGGCAGGATAGGGTCAGAAGGAGGGCACATTCCCAGCAGTCAGAGAAAGGCGGAGCGATGGAGCCGTCACAGAATGGGAAACGCAGCGAGAGGGCGTGTTCTACATGTAAATGGGCGTGACGTGTTATGCTAAGTAGGTGGTGGGCGTGGTTACATTGCATGTGGGCGTTGTCTAATGCTTGCAGCCTCAGTGACAGGGCAGCTAGTGTTATTGGGTGGAGCTGACACTGTAGCCTTATTAGAGCCTATCTCTGACACAGCATTGCTTCTGCGTGGCTAGTGTTTTGATTCCTCCCTTGGTCAATGTAGAAATTATATTAGGGGAGTGTAGGTAATGCCATGGCTGCAAATATTTTTTTTTTCAGCAAATTTCTGTATTTTTTTGTTTTGTTTTTTTTATTGTCATTATCAATACAATTCGTAGTTTTGCCACATAAAACCAGTATTTGTATTAATTCACTAAATTCGGTCAATTGAACAACAGATTTCAAAACAGAATTAAAGTTTAAAAAGTAACCAATATTTTGTACAATTCATCTATTGTGGACTACATTTTCCAATCACTGTTTAGTGAATAGACTCCATGATGCTAACAGAGCTTGCAGCATCTCATTACAGCTGGTGTGAACTGATCAAAAATATTTACTAATGGGGTTATTCATTAAATAACAGATTTTGTTCTGATGGACAAAATCTGGTAAAAATGACCGATTGTCAACCACAATGACAATCCTCATATCTACTAAAGCTAAATACGGTCAGAAGTTGGTCTCGCAGGGCACTAGTTTTACAACAATTCAGGACCGAATGCATCTGTTGTCATAACCCTGCAATGTAAACATTGCAGTTTCTCTGAGGTAAGGGGACAGGGGTGCTTCACCCAGACCACACCAATATGATAAAGCGGTCTGAGTAGCTATAGTGTCCCTTTAAAGTCACCTACCTGATGTGCACCGGGTGGATTATGTCCCATCTCATCACATTGTTCACTTTCTGCCATTGTAATTGCTGGATTTTATTCATGAAAATTCATAAATAATGTATATATAATCATTTCTGTTTTTAAATAAAAGATGATTTTCTCACTGCTCTGGGTGGTATTTTTTCATGTATTTCTCATCCTTGGGTTCTCTATCAGAGGCCTGGGAGTCTGAGGGCTCTGCACAATATCTTAGCTCTTCCTAGAACCTGGAAACTGCAGGAACCACTCTCCCAGTGTGGAGGTTACAGGTCTAAGTGCTTCTAACACAACTAGGACTACTAATGCCTTCACTTTACACATCCTTTCTAATTTGTCTTTCACCCCCTGGTGCTGTATACCTTCTCATGTTCCTTCTTCTTGATGTTATGGTCACTGGGTGTTGTCATATCCACCTTCCCTGCAATCATGCGTTCCTTTTCTACCGATGTCGGTTTGGTTGGCCAGTAGTGATGTCCCGAACTGTTCGCCACGGATCGCCGCGAACGGTTCGCCGCGGACTCCAGTCAGCAGACACATTAAAGCCAATCAGCAGCAGACCCTCCCTCCCAGACCCTCCCACCTCCTGGACAGCTCACTAAGAATGCAGCTTCAAAATGGATGCTGTCCAGGAGTTGGGAGGGTCTGGGAGGGAGGGTCTCTTGCTGATTGGCTGGAATGAATCTGCTGACCGGAGTTCGTGGCGAACAGTTCGGCGAACAGTTCGGGACATCACTATTGGCCAGCATTTGCTTGTTTGTCTGGATCTGGAAGTCTCACAGAATCTTATCCCTGTCATTCTCAACTACTCTTTGTGGTATTATCCCATCTGGACTTAGGCAGATCCAGCCAATATTCTGTGCACTCTTTTGGGCCCCCATCTTCATCATGTACTAGTGGATGTTCTGTGTTTCATCCAGGACTGTGGCCTTGACACTCATCAGGTCCCAACCTCCTTCCTTTCAGCTGCTGTACAGACTCTGGATGCTGGTTTCTAGGTGGAATCCTCCATTCGTAGTGAATAATTTCTAATTTGATATTCCTTGCATTCAGCTCTTCACTTGGTCAGGTTATTTTCCCAGGGTGCCTGAAGACTGGTAGAGGTATGTGTTGATCGCATGGATCTTGTTCTTGCTTGTACATCTGATACTCCTGAGGTGCTTTTATGTTACTATCCTCATTGTCTCTTCCTCATGGTTTGTCATGTGTTTGATCTATCCCCAGGTACTAGTAGCTGTTCTCTTCATCACCTATTTGGTCTTTTGGCACCTGTATATAAGATGGGAAATGCTGGATTTGTTTTAGATTTAGAAGAATATGATATACGGAAAGTCATTTAAAGTAATTAAGCACTGAAGGGAAGTGAAAGTAATAAGCACAAAAACATCCTTTTTCTAGTAGAGGAAACTAAAGGGTTATTGTCACAACAAACATGACAAAGTCACATTTTAAGAGCTCCCAATTCCATTACATAACTCAAACACCGTCTTGCACACCAAATGGTGTATGCAACATGCATGTCATAGAGCACATAGAGCTATGTAAACAGAAGCCAGTCTTATTGGTTGGGACTATCTTGGACAAGGGAGATATAGTCTTCAGGTAATATTACTAGCCCAACATTTGTATTAAATCCATACTTACCTGAAGTGTACTTTGTCCTTTTCTTCTAGCATAGCAGGAGAAGAGCTATTACATATCTCTCTTACATTTCATCAGCCTTAAAATAATCACCAAATATATATTATATACATTATTACTGAAATTTAAATATAGAATATAAATATTTTTTCAAAATCCCACAATAAAAGAATAGCAGGGATATCTGCTCACTTTTTCCTCAGCAGTGAAGATGACAAACAGGAAATCCATATAAAGTAAACAGACAGGCTCTCACTTGACCACATACCAGCAGAAGTGAACCCCACCCAAAACCATCTTCAGCAATTTTTAGAATTGAAGCTCCACTACTCAGAATTGGTTTTGTTATACTTCATATAGCTGTCAGGGTACAATACAATCCAATACAATAAAATGTCAAAACATGTGAATGCTTAGCTTAAAGGAACGCGATAGTGTCTGGAATATAAACGTATTCTTGACATTATAGTTCTATATGGCTGATTATGCCAATGGTCCCGTTACCTCCAGTTAAAAAGGTGATTTACTTACCTTTTTCCAGTGTTGCGCAGGTCCAGTTGGGGCTGGCCCTACCTGTGCTCTGCCCTCTTGGCTAAGATCATCAAAAATGACGATCTCAGCCAATCCAATACTTTACCATAGGAAAGCATTGGGGAGAGTATCGCACATGTGCAGCAAGATATGTCAGCTGAATTTCCCCTCCAGCTGAAAGTAGAGCTTTACTGTTTATAGCCCAATTTTCCCAAACACCTGAGAATACATAGTGTAGGGGAGAACAACAAAGCTTATTGGAAACAACGCAAGTTTATATACACAGACTCCTAGCATGAGGTCTCCAGCAAAGGTATAGGTGATCCCGTCCTTGCACCTCTGTGTCTGGGAGAGTATTGCGACATCCACTGCTAAACTTAATTATATCCCAGGCACAGAGAAGTCTAACACAAAATATCCCCAAAATAACAATTTAAGAATAAAGAACCCCCACACATTATATAGCCACAGATAGTCCATACTGGAGTGCCCATTCAGGAAAAATAGCGTGTTGATCCCTGTGTAGCAGAGCTCCAATACCCTGACTAGGTATCTCCACTGAATCCTCCTCGAAGCTAGAAGAAGAGCTGATCAGTGATTATAACTCTCCCCCCAGTAACTAGATGACACATAGTTCTGGGAGTGCAACTGTTTATATTGAGCCCCCTTTTGCACAGACCCCAGCATGGGGTCTCCATTCAGTACATACAGTACCCGCCCAGGCACCCCTGTGTCTGGGAGATAAGTGAGTTGCTGCCCGCTAAACTAATTATCTCCTGGATACAGAGTGCCAAACATAAAAACATCCCAAAATGCAGTTAAAACACACAGGTACCCCACATATCATACATCCCAGATAGCTCTCATCCGATCACCCAAGTTTGCCAAATAGCGCCCGGATCCATGGAGAATTGTTTGATCGCTATTGGGGTAAAGTTTTGACTGGCCGCAGACAAAGACTAAGCCCAGAATAGATCCAGTGTAATTGTGGCTTGAGACAGTCAAATAGTGGGAGCTCCTGTGATCAAATGAAAGGAGGTTCCCCCTGGTTGTCATGGGGCAATTATTCATGAAAGCGCTCTCCTGGCAGGTCGACAAGGGGGTTAATACTTTGACCGTCAGCCAAAATCTCTGATAGCCTAGTTGAGGTCCAGGGAGTTCACGGCTAAGTACCGCTGAGGACTGTTAGGTAAGTTATACGGCCGAACAACTGCCAGGGAGCGTGCTTTCGGCAATATGTTCAGTAGAAGGAAGGTACTGAACCAGAGGAACAGTGAATAAGTCTTTTGGGGAAATGGTAAGGGTACAAAGACATGGTGCGCCACAGCCTAGGTAGAGGAAATGCGGCTGCGGCTAAAGTTCAAGCCGAAAAAAGTTTCACGCTGCTGGTCTGGAAGTAGCGCTAGATATTCTGCGGTTTGCATGCCGAAGGCTCCAAGTTGCTTGCAGTTAGGTCACTTAGGGTCTGGTTCTACCGTAACTTTGCAGCAGCGTAAAATATGCAGACCCACATTATAAATTGCACATCCCTGGACAGGTCTCAATTCCGCAAAGCAGATTACTTTGTATGGTGGCTGAAGAAAGTATCACAAATTCAGTTCTGAGTAGCAGAGCATTTATTCTGAACATTAAATAATAAATGCTTCTTTCAGATGTTTAAAAAAAAATAGTTAACATTTTTTGGCAAAGGCTATTTAATACAAATATTCCAAAATTAAGAACATGTCTCTGGATATCACTAAAACTATAATTTTTATTTAAAAAAAACTATTAGAAAGAGAAAAGCACACTTTTTACAGTTTCTTTTGGTAAATTAATGGGAAACCCAATCACCATAACAACTTCATCTTAATGAAGTAGTTATGGTGCCTGAAGGTCCTGAATGCCAAACTACCTTATACGGTTAAACTGATTACAAACGGTTTAACTCCAAATTGGTCCATTGGTCATTAAGATTAAGTGTTCCTTTAAGGTGACATTTTCTTTTATGTACAACTTTAAGACTTCCATAAAACAATTAAGATTAATAATATGTAAAGGACACTCATATTTATTTGTGCTTATTCGTCAGCATTAGTAATATTTAAATATACTGTATAATTAAATATAATTTAGATTATAATTGGCATACATACAGTTTCTCTTTATAGTACTTCAGGAGAACATGTACTATTTATTTCATATAAGTGGCTGTTTATGTATTGGAACAGGAAAAACATCTAACTAAACTAGTATACATGTAAATATTGGCATATATGAATGAAGACGGGCACTTAGGCAGAGGTGAAGGTAGATTTATAAATGCAATGTAAAATTAAACAAATGATGTATGTGCGCATTGCTGATAGAAATTGCTAAAGCACTTAAGCTTTAAGTTTGGGTATCTCAGTGGAGCTAAACCCAAGAGTCAGCAGTTGCCCAGATCACCTGCCTTGCAAAGACTTCTCGATGAGCTGAGTCTGTGATTGAACAGCCACAGAAATTATGGGCGAGCTTTGAATGGGAAGGCTTGCAAAGGTAACAGACAAGAGAACTGCCAGTTTTGCAAACAGTTTTTAGATAAACCTCCAATGAAAAAATAAATAACTAAATGCATGTACATTTTCATTTGGGCTATGTGACAAACTCCCCTTCCCACGTAAGTTTGCCATGAGCTCCTGAAGGAGCCTGCTTGCCAGCCTCATGCCCACAGACTATGGGCCCTACAGGGAAACCTGTAAAAGCCTACCGAACTTGACCGACCGTTAGCACTGATTTCATGTAACTGTTTTGGGCATGGGACCATGTGCACTGTCGGTTATGACTTCCATGAAAATTCTGAAACCCTGAACTGATCTGGCTGATCTTTGGATATGTTGGTCACTCAGATTGGGGCAATCAGGGGATGTAACTTTTAGGGGATTTTTATGTATTTTAAAGGTATTTTTGGGATGTCTGTGAATTGTGGGGTTTTTGTGTCTGGAGATAATTGAGTTAGTTCAGCTGAGTTGAATGCTTGGGGAGATTGGGGCTGAGGTGAGTGATGAGGGAGATAGGTGCTGAGGTTGGCATGGGGCCCAGGTGGGTGCTTAGGAAGATGGGTGCTGAGGTGGAGCGAGACATGGGGCTGAGGTGGGTGCTGAGGTGGAGGGGGGCTGAGTTGAGTGAAGGTGGAGAGGGATGGGTGCTGAGTTGGAGGGGGCATGGGAGATGAAGTGGGTGCTAGGGGAGAGGGGGGCTGTGGTGAGTGAAGGGGGAGATGGGTGCTAAGGTTGATTAGGGCTGAGGTGAGTGAAGCAGGAGATGGGTTCTGAAGTGGGTGAAGGGGGGCATGTGGCTAAGAAGGGTTCTTAGGGACATGGGTGGTGAGCTGGAGATGACAGAGCCTCTTTAAATTGGTAAGCTGTTTTTTTCCAGTTCCCCATTTTTCTATGTTGCAAGGCTATCAGCACTAATTTGCAACACAGGCAGACATGATATGGTTTGTATACTTGTATGACTTTGTCTGCCTTTTGCTGTTTCATAAAAAAATATTTA